TTTCTTGACTTTAGTATTTTTATTATCTTATGGCACATCTGATCATTGCACTTGCAGGCAGCAGCTGACATCGATTATAAACCCAGCCGATTGCTTGTTGTGGCTCGACATGTCGTAGCTTTCATCAGAGAATTTTTTGATCAAAACCCTTTGAGTCAGATTGGATTAGTTACATTGAAAGATGGGATAGCACATTGCCTAACAGATCTTGGCGGAAGCCCAGAGTCACACATAAATGCTTTGCAGATTAAGTTGACGAGCTCGGGGGATGCGTCACTCCAAAACGGCCTTGATCTTGTCCAAAACCTTTTGAATCAAATTCCCACATACGGCCACCGAGAGGTCCTCATTTTGTATTCAGCTCTTAGTACCTGTGATCCTGGTGATATTATGGAGACAATTCAAAAATGCAAAACATCCAAGATCAGGTGCTCGGTTATTGGCCTCTCGGCTGAGCTCTACATCTGCAAGTATCTCTGTCAAGAAACAGGTGGTATATACTCAGTGGCGCTAGATGAGGTGAGCTGCATTTGTGAATGGTGCTTGTAAGTTGTAATATATGGTTATGTTACAAGTAGTTGGAATAATTTTGAAAACTACCCTTTAGATTCAGATATTTTAATATAATCCAACTAACCTTGAAATTTACAGAAGTCACCTTGAGATGTTGATCCCGCCTTACGCCTTGCATTCTGTTCCAGTCAATATTGGTTAAGTATTTTACCATCACATCCTTCAAATTTTTTTTTTTAGATATTACAAGTAACCGTAACTGTTGTCCAAATAATCATGGTATTGGAAAAAATTAGGGATGCAACTGTTTAAAAAAATAAATAAAGACGAGAATTTAGGGTACCTTTGGATATTGGGAAAGTTGGGGGATGTAATTGTAAGAGTATTTGACAGCATCAGCAATTCCCAATAGCTTCACTAACTGGTTGGGGCAGAATGTAAGATTGATTTAAACCACAAGGATGGTTTTTGTTGTGAGATCAAATCTCACAGGTAACTTTATACTTACCTCTCAAGTAGATTTGTGGGTAGAAGTATGGAAACATTTTTTCCACTTAAAATCATGAAAGTATCCACTATGAAGATATTAGAAGGGTGAATCTGCAATTGACTTTCATTAGTGTAATTCTAGTTCTGGAAATCTTCCTGTGGCAGTCCCACTTAAAAGACTTGGTGTTTGAACATGCACCTCCACCACCTGCTATTGCCGAATTCGCAGTCGCAAATCTGATCAAGATGGGCTTTCCTCAGCGAGCGGCAGAAGGTGTAATCTCAATCTGTTCCTGTCACAAAGTGGCTAAGGCTGGTGGGGGCTACACTTGCCCGAGATGCAAAGCACGTGTTTGTGACTTGCCCACAGAGTGCCAGATATGTGGGTTGACCCTTATATCTTCTCCCCACCTGGCGAGGTCTTATCACCACCTTTTTCCAATTACCCCGTTCGATGATGTGCCTCCGTCAGTCTCGAACAACCAACGTCATCTTACCAAAAACTGCTTCGGCTGCCAGCAAAGCCTCCTGAATCCTGGTACGTGTCGGGCCAAAAAGCTCTGTTTTGTTGTTAAATCCGTAGTTAAGCAGGTTTTCTTGCTTTGCTTTCTCAAGTTACTTATTACATGTGGTCTTAATTATAATTTGTGTTCACCTTATATTCGTTCTTATTTAGAGCATGGATGAGTTCTTTCTGATTCTTTATATCATACGTAGTCCTGTAGCAGATTACAGATATGAC